AGCCCCCCTGGCCCGCCCTGGGACCCCCGGGACCCCTCCTCGGAGACCCCGGCGGAACCCGCACAGGTTCCAGGTTTGGTAATCTCCGGCTTGAATCCAGACGCGCATCGCTGTGAAGACAAAAGACTCACCCCCTTCCTCCACGCTTCCTAAAGGTCACCCCGAATGTATGCCCGCCCGGGGGCCGCCCGCAAAAACACGAGTAATGCTGGAGGCTTCCTCCTAGAGCAGTCTTTTCAAAAGGACCCCAACCTCTGCTCCTGGGTCCTGAATGAGCAGGAACCATATAAAAAAAATGTACGTCCTCAGGGCCCGTGCAGCCCCATCTAATGCATGTTCATGCGGGCCGGGCATTCAGTTCGCGGAAAGGGGAGCCCAGACAACATGGCTAAAGCCACTTGCAAACGGATCTTGGGGCCGCACGGGGTGGGGTCGGGACCATTACAGAAGGCATTCCTCCTTGTGCTGAGCTGTTACACATTATCCAGCGGTTCTCAACCTGTGGGTCGCGACCCCTTTGGCGGTCGGTCGACCCTTTCACAGTGGTCACCTAAGACCATCCTGCATATCAGATATTTACATTACGACTCATAACAGTAGCAACATTACAGTTATGAAGTAGCAACGAAAATAATTTTATGGTTGGGTCACAACTTGAGGAACTGTATTTAAAGGGCCAGAAGGTTGAGAACCACTGCGCGCTCAGAGGAAGAAGTAGCAGCGATGATGAAATATGACCCTGAGCAATCCTGCTGCTAACCTGCCTTGTGCTAAAGCCCAGTCAGCCCAAGACCAGCAGGAAGAAGTCTGCGATCCACTAAGGTCAGCTTTATTTGTAAATAAACCGGGAGGAGGGACCGAGCAGGGGAAGCGTGGGTACCACGGGGAAAGGCAGGAGGAGGAAGCGCCTTTTGTGAGGTTTCGGTTCCCGCCGAGGGAGGGGAGGGTCTAGGGCTAAGGAGAGCGGGGATCTGGATTGGACGCCGCTCCCGAGGCGCGATTGGGAAAAGCGGGCACGAAGCGGGGATTGGGTGCGGTGCCCAGCAATAAGCGACAATAGCCGCGGGGGCCTGGGTGTCATTAGTTACTGCAAAGCTGCTCACAGAAGACGCGGTGGCGGTACCGTTGCTGCACGGCCGCGGGAAAAACAAGGTTCTCGGTTAACTCTGCAGCCGGCTTTCTCTGTGCCTGTCCGGTCGCTGCTGCTTGTTCTCAGTTCAGTCAGAGCTGGTGCTCCTTCTTTTGGTCCTGGCCCAAACCAAGAATGCTGGTTGGGATTCTTGCACCCATGATGCCGAACTGGACAGGATCCGGGTTCTGCCTTGGGAGCTCCAAACTGCTTTCAGACGCACCTTACCATGGACGGAAATTATTTTCACGTCAACAGTTCAAATGACATCTTGTCCTTATGCCCCGCATTTGCTGGGAATAGAGAAAAGATGGGAGCACAGAAAGGAAACAGTAGAAAAGTTGGGCGATGGGACAGAGGAGGTGTTGAATGATGGAGGGGTGAAGAAACTAGGCATGAAGAACAGGAAAGAGTGTGTCATGGGTGCCCAAGGATTAGGAATACTGGGGCAGAGGTACGATGAAGAGATTTCAAAAAAAACACGAAGATGTTTAGCCTTCCCAGTGATCCTAGGCTCGTGGAGGTCCTAAATGGGAGGACGAAGGGCCAAATTCACACAGCAAAAAAAAAAAAAAAATGTTTCATCTGGCCCACATGGTAGTTTTCCAAATATATTTTAAGTAGATACCAAAATTCAATAAATCAGGAGATTTTACCTTAAAATCTAGATTTCTAGTTTATCTGGAAAAGAGGTAAGTGTCCAAGGCCTCTCTTCATTCTGTATATGGGAGCAAGCTGCTCTTGTTAAGCACCAGTGTTCCATCATTTCACTGCTCCTTGGTGAGACAGGCTGTGCCTCTCTTAAAGGGATGAGAATGCTCTTCAGTTATTTTTAAGCCTCTCCTAGATAATTTTAAAGTTTCTCTTCAGGCACTCCCCAAAGAGCTCCACTCCACACTGGTGTGAAGAACCCAGCCTTAAGCCAGACCCTGTGTGCTCCCTTAACGCATCCAGCTCCTTCCCTTTTTACTCTCCCTCCACCTTGTTTTCACTAAACTTCTTCTTTTGAATCTGTTTTGCCTCCTCTCTTGATTGCTATCTTGAAGGGGTGCCAAGAACCTCTTTGCCGGTGACATTGGTAATAACTCAAGGCGTGGCCATGCCAGGCAATGCCACTAAGTTTTACTCTTTGCCTTTTGACCCGAACCCTCTGCAATGTTCTAGGGCACCTCCAAGCCCAAAGGAACCCCTGCGCACCTCCCAGTTGGGAGATGGGAGGAATATGTGAGAAAGGCTCAATTGAACAAGCTTGAGACCCTTCTTTCAACTAAGACAATGATCAATGAAAGCACTTCCTATATGCATCTGCACTTTTTTCTTCCTGGGGAGAGAATCCACAGCTTTCATCATATTTTTAAGGGGTTATTGATCCAAAAAAGGAACATTTGAAATATAAAGTCCCCATTTTTAGAAGTATTACATCCTTTTACATTAATAAAAATTTACACTGGGGCCGAAACCGGTTTGGCTCAGTGGATAGAGCATCGGCCTACGGACTGAAAGGTCCCAGGTTCGATTCCAGTCAAGGGCATGTACCTGGGTTGCAGGCACATCCCCAGTAGGAGATGTGCAGAAGGCAGCTGATCGATGTATCTCTCTCATCAATGTTTCTAACTCTCTATCTCTCTCCCTTCCTCTCTGTAAAAAATCAATAAAATATATTTTAAAAAAAAATTTACACTGGGGATTTTTACTATATTATATTATTTAAATGACTAGAGGCCTGGTGCATGAAATTCGTGCACGGGTAGGGTCCCTAGGCCTGGCCAGGAATCAGGGCCAATCTGTGGGGTGCCAGCAGGGCAATCGGGGCCCCTGCTCACACCTGCCTTGGCCAGGAGCCACCCCTTTACCTGCTCCACCATCCTGCCACGGTCCCACTCTTGTCGGGGCCCATCAGGGCCAACAGCGCCTCCACTGCCGCCTTCTACCAGCACCACATCACTGGCACTCGCCATGTTCCATGCCGCCCCCTGGTGGTCAGTGCACGTCTAACTCCCAGTTGGTCAACTGCCAGTGGGGAAAATTTGCATATTAGATTTTTATTATATAGGACTAGAAGCCCAGTGCACAAAAATTTGTGCAATCGGGAGGGGGTCCCTCAGCCCAGCCTGTGCCCTCTCACAGTCTGGGACCCCTCGGGGGATGACCCACCTGCTGGCTTAGGCCCGCTCTCCAGGGGATTGGGCCTAAGCTGGCAATCAGACATCCCTCTGGCAGCCCGGGAGCCCTCGGGGGATGCCCACTTGCCAGCGGGGAGCAAGCCTAAGCTGCAGTCGAACATCCTTAGTGCTGCTGAGGAGGTGGGAGAAGCTCCCACCACCACCGCTGTACTGGCAGCCATCAGCCTGGCTTGTGACTAAGCAGAGCTCCCCCTGTGAAAGCGCACTGACCACCAGGGGGCAGCTCCTGCATTGAGTGTCTGCCCCCTAGTGGTCAGTGTGTGTCATAGTGACCAGTCATTCCCAGTCGGTCTGCTGTTAGGGTCAATTTGCATTATACCCTTTTATTATATAGGATAGAGGCCTGGTGCATGGGTGGGGGCCGGCTGGTTTGCCCTGAAGGGTGTCCCGGATCAGGGTGGGGGTCCCGCTGGGGTGCTTGGCCAGCCTGGGTGAGGAACTGAGGACTGTTTTTAGGCTGGCCATAGCCCCTTCAGGGTGGGGGTCCCTACTGGGGTGCCTGACCAGCCTGGGTGAGGGGCTGAAAGCCGTTTTCAGGCTGGCCATGCCTGCGGGCTGGAAGCAGGTATCTGGGATTTATTTAACTTCTATAATTGAAACTTTGTAGCCTTGGTCCTGCTGGAAGCCGGGTTGTCCCTGGCAACCGAGGCTCCCAGCCCCTCCTTGAGTGGAGGCCACACAGGCTGGAAGCAGGTATCTGGGATTTATTTA